TTGGAAATCCTTTATTGAAGTACCCTGTTAAATTACTTGGGCGTTTTAGAGATTTCTTTGATGTAATTATCTGTTTTCTAAAACTTCTTATTTATTTTTAATTTTCTTGGGAAATTACTTGGTCGTTTGGAAATAATTAATTTCCTTCATTTTCAATGTGAAATCCTTCATTCAATTTTGGTTTGATGTAAAATGAGGTGCTTGTTTTGAAAGGATTCTCTTACATTAAATCTAATTTACTCATATATCAATGCTTTCTAATGAATAAATCTCTAAAGAATACCTTGAATCATGTGTTTAATTTCTCTCACAAGGTTTACATTCCAAGATTTACGAGCCTAAGCGTTAAGTGACATTCTGTTTCTATGTTCAAATCATTCAATTGCATATATCTATGTTTCTTGGGGAAAAGTTTCGGAATAGATTCTCTGTGACATTTTAAAAGGTTTAATTCCATTGTTGTTCTCTTCATAAGCTGGATGGTTAACGAATCGGAAATAGTGAGTGTTAGAAAAATACCATGTTCCAGGTGTGTTAACGAATCGGAAAAAAAGTGAGTGTTTAGAAAAATACCATAATCTAATCTTTAGATTAACGAATCGGAAATAGTGAGTGTTAGAAAAATACCATGTTCCAGGTGTAGCTAATCTCTTAGATTAACGAATCGGAAAAAGTGAGTGTTAGAAAAATACCATGTGCCAGGTGTAGCTAATCTCTTAGATTAACGAATCGGAAATAGTGAGTGTTAGAAAAATACCATGTTCCAGAAAAGATTACCAATCGGAAAAAGTGAGTGTTAGAAAAAATACCATGTGCAGGTGTAGCTAATCTCTTAGATTAACGAATCGGAAATAGTAAGTGTTAAAAAATACCATGTGCCAGAAAATCTAGATTAACGAATCGGAAAAGTGAGTTTAAAAATACCATGTGCCAGGTGTAGCTAATCTCTTAGATTAACGAATCGGAAATAGTGAGTGTTAGAAAAATACCATGTTCCAGGTGTAGCTAATCTCTTAGATTAACGAATCGGAAAAAGTGAGTGTTAGAAAAATACCATGTGCCAGCTAATCACTTAGATTAACGAATCGGAAATAGTGAGTGTTAGAAAAATACCATGTTCCAGGTGTAGCTAATCTCTTAGATTAACGAATCGGAAAAAGTGAGTGTTAGAAAAATACCATGTGCCAGGTGTAGCTAATCTCTTAGATTAACGAATCGGAAATAGTGAGTGTTAAAAAATACCATGTTCCAGATGTAGCCTCTTAGATTAACGAATCGGAAAAAGTGAGTGTAATCTAGATTAACGAATCGGAAATAGTGAGTGTTAGAAAATACCATGTTCCAGGTGTAGCTAATCTCTTAGATTAACGAATCGGAAAAAGTGAAGAAAATACCATGTGCTGTAGATTAACGAATCAGAAATAGTGAGTGTTAGAAAATACCATGTTCCAGGTGTAGCTAATCTCTTAGATTAACGAATCGGAAAAAGTGAGTGTTAGAAAAATACCATGTGCCAGGTGTAGCTAATCTCTTAGATTAACGAATCGGAAATAGTGAGTGTTAGAAAAATACCATGTGCCAGATGTAGCTAATCTCTTAGATTAACGAATCGGAAAAAGTGAGTGTTAGAAAAATACCATGTGCCAGGTGTAGCTAATCTCTTAGATTAACGAATCGGAAATAGTGAGTGTTAGAAAAATACCATGTTCCAGGTGTAGCTAATCTCTTAGATTAACGAATCGGAAATAGTGAGTGTTAAAAAATACCATTTTCCAGGTGTAGCTAATCTAGATTAACGAATCGGAAATAGTGAGTGTTAGAAAAATACCATTTTCCAGGTGTAGCTAATATCTTAGATTAACGAATCGGAAATAGTGAGTGTTAAAAAAATACCATGTGCCAGGTGTAGCTAATCTAGATTAACGAATCGGAAATAGTGAGTGTTAGAAAAATACCATGTGCCAGGTGTAGCTAATATCTTAGATTAACGAACGGAAATAGTGAGTGTTAGAAAAATACCATGTGCAAGGTGTAGCTAATCTCTTAGATTAATGAATCGGAAATAGTGAGTGTTAGAAAAATACCATGTGTCAGGTGTAGCTAATCTCTTAGATTATCGAATCGGAAATAGTGAGTGTTAGAAAAATATCATGTGCCAGGTGTAGCTAATCTCTTAGATTAACGAATCGGAAATAGTGAGTGTTAAAAAATACCATGTGCCAGGTGTAGCTAATCTCTTAGATTAACGAATCGGAAATAGTGAGTGTTAAAAAAATACCATGTGCCAGGTGTAGCTAATCTAGATTAACGAATCGGAAATAGTGAGTGTTAGAAAAATACCATGTTCCAGGTGTAGCTAATCTCATAGATTAACGAATCGGAAATAGTGAGTGTTAAAAAAACACCATGTGCCAGGTGTAGCTAATCTCTTAGATTAACGAATCGGAAATAGTGAGTGTTAGAAAAATACCATGTGCCAGGTGTAGCTAATCTCTTAGATTAACGAATCGGAAATAGTGAGTGTTAGAAAAATCTCATGTGCCAGGTGTAGCTAAACGCTTAGATTTTTTTAGCATCAAACTGACCTGAAACAATAGTCAAATATTAGAAAATCAGTTGCCATCAGGAAAGAATTAATATAATAGACTCCGTATTTATTAAATGATATATGATTCACTGATTTATTCTCTAACTTTAACATAAATGTAACAAGATTGCTCGATGTGAGTTGGCGTTGTCTTTGGTTAACAACACAAACAATCCGCAAGAGACAAGCGAATCTTGGATAAAAGTTTTGCTGAATAAAGTTGTTTTCTGTGCGGTTGTTACCGATAAGTGTTTTATTATTAGCGATAAAACAACGATTCTGATATTATTATTTTTAATGCGTGACCTGTACAGGTTGTAGACGATTTTATCTCTCCACGAACGACTTTTGTGTTATCCGTGAACAGCCATGTTTTCTTGGGAAAGATCCTGTTGCGTACGACATTGATTTGGATTCAGAGATATCAATACAGTGGCCTAAGAGAAAAATTTTAGCCAGGAGAAATAAGCTACATACAGTTTCCAAGTGTAATTATGTAATCCCTACTCAACATAAACAAAGAGTACTTAGAACTCGTATAGAGTAAGTCCTCCATTTTCTAGCTTCATTGCATGTATTCGATTTTTCATGGATTTTAATGAACAATCGTTTAATCTTTATTTTACCACTCCTGGCAATGTTTCTTTAAGGGTTGCCACTGACGTGGTTTTACTTGCAGGCTCTTGAAGTTTTCGGTGAATGGTACTCCCAAACGTGCTCTAGTGGATTCATGTCAGAACTTTGAGCTACCCATCGCAGTGACTCGATTCCTTGCGATTCCTTCAAGGTATTGCTACTTTGCTCGTATAACATGGCGCTCCATTTTCTTGAAAAAGTAGAAATTCTTGTCACTCAGATTGGTTTCAAATAGTGGCAGTATTCCTTTCTGTAATATTTGACAGTATATTAAACCATTGAACAACTCGTCAACAAGAATCAGCTCAGGTTTCCCTCCAGACCATACAGCGCCCCACACCATTACTACAATCCCTCCATGTTTCACGTTTACCTGCAGGCATTCAGTTTTCCAATTCTCATTCTGGTTTCTCCAACATAAACCTATCTCGAATTCGAATATTGGCAGAATTTACTTTCATCTGGCCAAATTACAGACTGCCACAATTCATAATCTTTGTTCTCGAATTCTCTCGCCCATTCCATACGCCTGTTCCTGTTAACCGCTGAAATCAAGGACTTCTTTCTTGCAACTCTTCTTTAATAGCCTACCTCTTTCAGAGTCTTTCGCACTGCATAGGTTGAGAGTTCTATGTTGTTGACGCCATTTTGAAGCTCTGACAACGGTTTCTGATGACTTCCTCAGCGCCCTTTTCGTTCGCCCATACACGATACTTGGTTTTCCTGAATGTTGTTCCACACGACAATGGCCTTCTTCAATTAATTTGTTGACAATTTTATTAGTCGTTTGATGATTAACCTGGAAAAATCTAGCAATTTCTCTATTTGACTTGCCACACTGATACCATCCTAATATTTGCCCTCGTTGAAATTAACCAATTTCCTTATTTCCGCGAACTTTCAGTGCAAAATATAAGTCAGTTATCGTTCCTAGTTCATCGAGTTACAGAAATATGATTGAAAAGCTACAAGAACATTGAAGATGAAGATGCTAAGAAGAATCCGATATCAAGAACTGTATTCTCACGATATTCTTATACTGGAAGTATTACTATTTTAGATTCCAGTTATTTCATACATTAATTAATTTACTTCTTTATTCCTCTTGATTTCTTGGGGAATATAGAGCCGCAACAAAACCTCCCCAGTGGATCCTCTTCACCTCGATCCATGTCGGGCCAGAGCTAATTTCACCTTTGCGTCAACACTTCTGCGCCAAGTCTGTTTTGGTCGACCCACTTTTCGCTTCCTTTGTGTATTCCAGCCAAAGGTCTGCCTGCTTTATACTAGAAGCAGGCTTGCAGAGTATGTGGCCGATAAATCCCCATTTACGTTTCTTGATGTCAATCTCGATCGGGTCTTGTCTGGTTCTGTCCTACAGTTGGAAGTTTGAGACAACTTCCGGTCACCTGTTACTGAGTATTGTCCTTAGACATCGGTTGGTTAATGTTTGAAGTCTGTGGATGTTGGTTTTGTTTACCTGCCAGGTTTCTGAGCCGTAAATTAGGACCGACTTGAAGTTTGTGTTGAATATCTGGATCTTGTTGTAAAGTGAGAAAGTTGTTGATCTCCATATTAGCCGCAGAGTGTTGAAAGCGTACCAGGCTTTGTTGAACCGGCACTTGATGTCTTCCCCCCACCCCATCTTTAATGACGGCACATGAAAGGTAGACAAACTTATTTATTTATTTCTTAATGCCTGTGACATTTTTTCGTTTTTTATAAATATTTTCTTAACTAAATTCCTTTGAATGAAAAAGAGGCTTACTGCCGCATCAGGTTGAAACATCGGTTCCCGTACGATCACCGAAGTTAAGCAACGTCGAGCCTGGCAACTACCTAGATGCGTGATCACTTGAGAATCTCAAGCAATAAAAGTTTCGATGTGCGCGTGGTGTAATGGGTAATGGCTCTAAATTTTTTATTGCAGAGCTGAGTTCAAATTCCAATTGGGTTCGTTACGTTCACTTGTACACTTGGCAAAGGTATAAATCCAACCTCGTCTACCGACAATTTAGCGATTTATTCATGCCAAATTCTTGCCAAAAATGGAACTACTCGAACCAACAATGATTTGTTTCTATCAACAAATACTGAGAACGCAATCATCAGACATGTTTTTTTTATGAATGTTCATTTGTAATTTTACGGTTTATCGACCTTTTGCAGATTATTTAAATCAGAAAATATTTTTGATTGTAAAGCAAATTTTGAGTTTATAATGATGTAAACATTGTAGTCTTACTAGTCGGAATCGTACAAGAGGTGGATTCATAGTTTCACAAGGATATTTGTTCGAAAATCAATGTAATGGACACGACTGGAGATTGGAACATCTGGAATGTGGGGAAACATTATGGGGGAAAGAAGGTTTGGAAAATTGAATTTGTCTGTTTTGTTTTCTTTTACAGCATATCAATCTCCATGGGTTATTTAATACAAGCATTTTTTTTCCTGGTAATATTTAGTTTTGTCAAAAATCTATTTCTAGAAATATTTTTTCTTGAAAAATGTACAGCTGGTAATATAATGTTAAAAATTGTATTGTTGGTAATATTTTTTTTTCAAAAACGTATTGCTGGTGATTTTTTTTTTTTCTAAGATATATTGATGGTAATATTTTTTTTTCAAAAATACAATTGCTGGTATTATTTTGTTTTCAATAATATATTTCTGGTAATATTTTTTTCAAAAATAGATTGCTGGTAATATTATTTTTTCAATAATAGATTGCTGGTAATATTTTTTTTTAAATATATAGCTGGTAATTTTTTTTCCCAAAAATAGATTGCTGGTAATATTTTTTTTTTCAAAAATATATTGTCAGTATTATTTTTTTCCAAAAATATATTGCTGGTAATATGTTTTCAAAAATATATTGATAGTAATACTTTTATTTATTTTTTTTTTTTTTCAAAAATTGATTTCTCGTAATAATGTTTTACAAAGTATTTCTGGTAATAAATCTTTACAAAGTATTTTTATTTATTTTTAAACTTTATTAATTCTTTTACCTCAGTTTCGGTGTTAACTATTTGTCCATAGGTGGGACTCTAACAGGTGCTACTACCCCGGGTCAGTGTGGACCTAGAAACACCAGCAATTAAGAGGCCTTGCTGTTGGACGTAGTTTATCGTTTTAACCCGGACGTGGATGTACTTTATCTTCATACGCATGGCGGTTGGAAAATGGAAAAAAATTGCAGGGATTATTATAGACAAAAATGCAGGGGTATTACTTGGTAACTTACTTGATTTTAAGTCAAGAAGAACAGAATAAATATTAAGAAAATCAGGGGTTATATTGGAGTAATATAAAAAAAAATATATAACAACTAGGAACGGAAACTTCGGAAAGGATATACAACAGAGTGAATTAAATAGTTCTTTTTCAGTAGTATTGAATTATGTTATATATACGTGAAATGATATCTTGAAGTTAATGTGGAAAGACTCCCTCCTCAATCATCGGAGAAGTTTGCTTTTTAGCCACAACTGCCCGCACAGTCTTTGTTGAAAAAGAAGAGAAAGATAGAGCGTTAGTGAAAGAGGTAAGTATATGTTTTTAAATACATTTTTCCTCCTATTTTAATATTTAATTATCAATAAAAGCAGCATTACGTCTATTGTTTGTGCGTAAAAAGTATATACATGGAGTTATTATATTACTTTCCCCACAATTATATTGCACACTTATATTGCAGGTACTTAAGTCTGATGTTTATTAATTCTAATATCATCCGCCAAGAGCTAATGTTTGAAATATTTATGAGTATCCATATATAAGTGCACCCATTTAGATAGCTAGCTATATAAGATTGATAGGTAAGATATTGCTTTGAATAGATAGATATATAGATAGATAGATAGATAGATAGATAGATAGATAGATAGATAGATAGATAGATAGATATAACTTGTTATAGATGAGCATTCATGTGTAACAGATTAAGTCTGACAAAATATCAGCAAAGATAACCGGTGTAAAGATTGAATTATATATATATATATATATATATATATATATATATATATATATATATATATATATATATATATATGGTCTCTAAGCACAGTGATGTCATATTCAGAACCGCTATACTCATTGTCAAAAATAAGACTAATGCCTTCTATCACTGCCTCCCACCGCCTCTCTATCTCGCTCCCTCTCTCTTTCCCCTCTCTCTCTAGAGTTAGATATTATATTTTGATTGTGTAGTGTTATATATTGTAAAATTTCATTTAGATAGATAGTATATATATATATATATATATATATATATATATATATATATATATATATATATATATATATATATATATAGTGAACATCAACACTTAGTGGCGACAGTTCATTTCATAGTAGACGCGATCGTCAGGCCACGACTCGTGGCCTGACGATTGTGTCTACTATGAAATAGACTGTCGCCACTAAGTGTTGACTTCTATGTTCACTTTTATATTCACACACGCTCTACCTATGATATTGACCACTTTATCCCATAAATATAGCACACCTTAATACTATATTTATTCATATATATATATATATGTGTGTGTGTGTGTGTGTGTGTGTGTATGTATGTATTCATGTGTAAGATGCTTCAATTATCCACTCCAAAGATATTTGCATCAGTTTTAAAAATAAAATAACACTACAGAAAGAGATCCGATATCTATCTATCTATCTATCTATCTGTCTGTCTGTCTGTCTGTATATATATATATATATATATATATATATATATATATATATATATATATATTGTTAGAAAGGTAACAATAAATTTCCTCTAGATAGATAGATAGATAGATAGATAGATAGATAGATAGATTTACATACATGCATAATCAAACGCACACATACATAAGAAATAGTGACATAATGGGATTTTTCTTCTCATTCTCTTTTAAGAAGTAAATATTATTGGTGTTCAATTATCCATGATTTCATATAAAGCTTTCAGACTTGTGCAATTTACTGTCTGATTTGAGAACGGAAAAATATTTATAATAACCTAAATTTTAGTGAATTCTCTGCCTTTCTAGGCTCGTAATTTTAAACAATTTATTCCACGTAATAATGTTATTATATAACTTTTTTTCAACAATATAAAACTTTCATACGAGAAGAGGCCACTTCACTGTTATTAATATGTAAAAGATAATGAAATTGTCAACACTACACGCTCAGCTGTAAAACAGACGTAGGAAGGGTGAGCACATTCTTCACGTCTTTTAATTTCATATAAAAATGGTACGTTATTGCAATAACTATAGGTAATGGAATATTTTACTGGCCTCAAAAGCTAATTAATATTGCTTCACCGCAGAATCTGGGCAGTTTTACTAAACACTTTATTACGATGTCTGCTAAGGAATAAGCATTTATTAAGTAGCAAAGTTGAGTTCAAAGGTAGGAAAACAATCCATTTTTAGAAGACAAAATAACAAAAAAATCATGCACTATTTATAGTTTTAGATTTTAGAAGCCATTGACTGTAACTGAAGATTTGTAATTGGAAACAAAACAGATTACAAACAAACAGATTCAGACAGATTCAGGATTTTCTAAACGTAAACATGGTGTTTACGGTCATATTACGTTGAAATATCGCTTTCCGTATGATCTTCGAAGTGAAGCAACGTCGAGCATTGTCATACCCTAGATGGGTGACTGCTTGCGAATACAATTTGTTGTAATCTTTGAGGACACCGAGGGTGGGGTGGTTAATGGCTCGGAATTGTCAATCGGAGAGCCAAGTTCCAATTCCAGAACAGTTCGTCATATTCACTTATAACTCAATACCTAAAAACATCTCTTTTCTCACAGCTATCAGTTACCTAGTAACACTTGTATGAATAAATCATTATTATTACCAACAAAAGAATTTAAAAATATTAAAAGGTTAATAAACCACAAAAATTGATTCGATCAATTTATGGTCTGATGTGGCTCTTGTAGAGATAGTATGTCTCTTGTGCAGCAGTTTATTTACTGAATTGGTAAAAGAAGCGACTAATTCTTTACCGATGGTTTATATATATATATACACTGCGTGCCAAATTATTATCTAATATTTCAAAAAACGTCCAATCAATTCACACAAATTTTTGACACAATGTTGGCAACACTGATCTGCGTAATCACTGAAATTTAAATCGTAATGGTCTGCGCTAGGTAAACAAACTGGCGCCATATTTGTTATCAGCACGTTGACAGTCTTCAAGGTTTCTACAATCACATAATTTTTCATTATTTTTGTCGAATTTTAGTTTAGGATTTTTATTAATACTGTTTTGGCATGCGTGCTTTTCCAAGATTTTATTATTATGCTTTTTTACGATTCTTTCTAGATTTTCATTGCAACTGTAACTTAATTTTAAGGCGTTTTTATTAAAGATCTTGCTAAGTTTGCTATTAGTAGGGAAGTGTTTTTCAATTAAAACTAGGAACTTATGTCCTTGCTTAATAGTAACCATTTGGTTGAACGGAGGGGTATACCAAATGATTTTCCGTGTCCTGTTTTGCTTCTGGTTAGTTCTTTTGTTTCTATAATTTATGTTAGGGTTTTTGTATCCGCTATTTTTTAGGGCTGTGTTATGAAAATCAACAACAACAATGACAATAAACAAGTTACAAAAACAGACAGATATGACCTACTAACTCCTTAACATATACTATACAAAACAATTTATTCAATCTTAATATCAAAATAATTACAACCACATATAAAAATTATTATGGCTATGATCAGAACCAAATATATCCAAACAAGTATTTAAGAAATAAACTGTCACAACTGTTCCCTACAATATTTTGGGGAAACGCGCCAAAATTTAAAAAATTATATATGAACACAAAAT